ATTAACTAATGTCCACAAAACAGAAACCAGTGGCCACGAAATAAAAACTAGTGGCCATGGGATATTAACTAGTGGCCGTGAGATCAAAACTAGTGGCCACGAAATAAAAACTAGTGGCCATGGGATATTAACTAGTGGCCGTGAGATCAAAACTAGTGGCCACGAAATAAAAACTAGTGGCCATGGGATATTAACTAGTGGCCACGATAGATGACGCGTAGCCACAAGATAATTTTGAGCAGTCATCTTTTTTGTGAGTGATACAGACATTAGCTATGTTTACATGTACAAAATGTTTTAATCGGATTGAAATGTATTCAGATTAAATAATCTGAATGTACTGTTTACATGGACACAATCCGATCATGAAAAGTGTTTACATGCACCGGAGTTTTATTCAGAATAAAAGTCTGGACATGCACAGTGTTGTAAACGTTCAGCTCTACTTCCGTGTTATAAACGTAAACAAAGCTCCTCTGTGCGCTCAGGATGGACCCGTGTCAGCTTTTAATGACGGTAGAGACGTCGTTACTCCTCGGTTGAGCTGCAGCCTGCAGATGAAGCAATACGTGCTTTTTTTTTTTTTGCGAAGCAACGTCTGCTGTTTGTCTCCTTTTTTATCTGTTAAGAGAGCGAAGAGGAAAAGTTCTGCACGGTGCAGCGCAGCTGGAAATTAGTGCTGCTGCCCCGCCTCTAAAGAGCAGAACCAGGTGAATGAAAGTCAGCAGACCTGCACACAGGTCAGTTTTCTACAATCAGAATAAGATGATCCGATTAAGTGTTTACATGAACGTCATTCCGATTATCAATCGGCGTAACCCACCCTTTTCATTCGGATTAAAAATTCATTAGGAAAATAAAGCTTATTGGGTAAAAGCAACATCAGTCATCACCTGTGTCTTCTAGCTGCAACATTTATGCTAAGAACTACTTCCCGCCTAACCACAAGCGACTGAAATGTTGTTAATTCCCAGATTAAAATTAAATTAATTTGAAATAAACAATTTATTTACTGCTCTGTTTGTTCCGTGATACATTCAAAATTATTTCACATCAGTGCTGCTGCAGATTACATTCAAGTCTGATCAGAATTATATGTTTTACCTTCAAAACGAATCATATATTTTCATAGTACACATAGAAAACATGGTGATCTTATAGACATATTAAACCTAATGTTACCTCCACACTCCTGAGGCGTCTGAACTGCTCTGCTGTGGGATAGTCGGGGCGGCCCATGCTCTGCCAAAGCTGGTACGAGTTGGTTACATTGTTGTCCATGTAATATGTGACATACACAAGATCTGAACAAACAGACAGACAGACAGACAGACAGACAGACAGACAGACAGACAGACAGACAGACAGACAGACAGATGGTGAGTTATGCTGAATTAAAGGCCCTCCTTTCAGCTGCGTTTGGTCAAACACACCTTTTTGCTCGGCCAGGCCTTTCAGTGTGACGGTGACCTCGTCAGTGTGGTTGGAGGTGCTGTTGTCGTCACTGTTGTAGATCAGAACTGCAGCCTGCCAGCTGTCAGAACCACCCAGAACTGCAGGCCTGTGGCTGCTGGCCAAAACTCCAACAGTCCCATTTTGTTCACCTCCTGAGTTTAGAACCAGAGCCGACACCTGGGTCTCACCTCACATTGGGAACACAGTTGAGAACTGCTTCATTAATGGCTCAGGGATTAATTAATATTTATATTGTTTTCTGAGTCACACTGCCTTCCTAACAGAAAGAAAAACCCGGAGGGTGTAAGATCTAGAGACTGCCACCTAGCAGAGCCAGCAGGCCCATGGCGGTGAGGACGGGCTTCCTGATGAGCTGGACGTGAGGAGGGTGGGTGTTGTTGACCTGGAAGCGAGCGGTCAGTGTGCGCTGAGTGAAGGGGTGAGGGTGGTAACTCAGGAAGGCGTTGTCGTTGCTCAGCAGCGTGTAGTTGACAGTGTTGTTTGGGTCAGCCAGCAGCAGATCCTGGTGCTGCTTTATCACCTGACAGGAGGAGCAGAACAGATCACCAACATCTTTTCACCCTCATTTATAAAATCGTTTGTCTTTACTCACAACACCTCACCTTCACCACCATCGCAGCGTAGGTCACATCAGCCCTCCACTCTTGAGGCCTGGACCACCCCACTAGAGGATCTGCTTCATCGTTGTAAACAGGGAGGCTGCTGAACCCGGGGAAATGCTCCTGGATCTCTCCTACTGTCTGCACCTCCTGTTGGAGGATGGGCAAAGACTGACCTCCTCCCTGAGGGATGGAAACAAACTCCCATCAGATTCATGAGGAATAAGGGTTTCACAGAACAGAAGTGGAACTAGAGGAAATCTGAGTGCTTTGACAAAGAAACAATAAAAGGCTAGATGAAAGTTAACATAGCGAAAGAATGGCTAAAACACTAGCTACACAGAGCAAAAGACTAGCTCAAGCCAAAAATCTTGTTAAAAGAAAAAACTACAGAGAAGGTAAAAGTATAAAAATCTTCAAAAGACAAGAACAGAGCAAGTAAGCTAAATTTGTGTTTTTTAAAGTGGGGAGCCACCAGGAGGGGCTGTGGGGCCTCAGACAGCTACTATTATTGTAAAATATAATGTATAATATATTAAAATGTTATTTAAGAGAGCGTAAGAGGTTTGATTTCTTCAGATTGTTGAAAAGTTGGTTTGTCAGGAAATAAAGTGTTTAAATTCTGTTCGTTAATAAAATTCCTATATGAAACAAATGCTATAATAATTAAGTAATGGCATTACTGTCTAGAAATCAGTTTTTACTTCATTGAAGAGGTTTTTTTTAAATTTACATTTTGTTTTTGTCAAAAAGGCCAGTTTATATTGAATATGACTGATTTCTAACAGAAATAAAGAAGTGAAAACATACAGGGGAGTGAATACTTTTTGTAGGATTTTGTGCTAGCATTAACATTAAATTTTTTACATTTTTATTGGCGAAACAACCCTAAATTTTATTTATTTATTTATTTAATTAATTAAAGTTAGTTAGTTGTTTTGCTTATTAGTAGTCCAAAGCATTTTCTTAGATCAAACTAAAAACAAACAGTTAGTTGACCTCAGTTTTAACGGTCTCATGCGGCCCACCTTCTTGTGCAGGGCGATGTAGTCGATCCGGACCCCCGTCTCTCCTGTGAAGTAGTTGGTGCCGTTGTAGCAGTGCTGCAGCATGGCCCAGCAGTACGGGGAGAGAGGAGGCGAATGACAAGAGTCTCCTGGACCTCCAAACCTCAGGAGTTTGCTGGCAGCCTGCAGCCCCTCCGAACACGCGTCATAGTAGTTTAGAAACCCTAAAAACAATTGGATCATGCAGACATTCAAACATGGCCACAGCACTGCAGTGTCAAGCTTGGGTTATACTTTAATATGATGTGAGACAGCGAGTCGATGATTGTGTCATTTCGAATGTCTTTTTCCTGACAGAGTATAAACGAGCTGAAGATGCGGGGGGCTATAAATGATCATAATTCCTCCCTCTGCCCTCCCACAGCTCATATAAGTTTATAAACAACAATAATTATGGCTAGATATTGTTTTTTTCTTCACTGCACTGAAACAAAGCCCTGACAGAACACTGAAATATCATGTTTGTATTTTACCTTGAATCGAAACAGTGACGTTATCGAAGTCGTGGTTGTTGGGTTCGTTCCACGTTTCAAAGTTCCACAGGGAAACACATCCCAGCCCATATTTATCTGAAATTCAGTTTAAATAAAACACGATCAGTGCATGTTTTTGTGACTTTATGGCTCCTCTAACAGATCATCGTGCTGTGTTCAAACACACAGAGCTCTGCTGCATTTAAAGGCAACAGTTGCAGCATGTATCTGGAGAGGTGGAGGTATACGCTTTAAAGAAGAGGGATGAAAGCAGACAAACAGAGTCCATGTGGGTGAATGAGAGGGAGGCAGGTGGAACAGTGAGGCTATGAACAGCAGAGGTCACAAAGGTGCAGCAGGACTTCAGATACTTTGGGTCATTTGTCCAGGAAAACAGGGAGTGTGACAAAGAGGTGAAGAAGAGAGGATGGAATGGATGAAAAAAAGTTTCAGTGGTGATTTGAGAGTGGCAGCAAAGGTCAAAGGAAAGGTTTACAAGAGAGCAGTGAGACCAGCTGTGTTGTATGGTTTTGGAGTGGTGTTGACAAAAGGACAGGAAGCAGAACAGGAAGTGTCAGAGCTGAAGATGTTGAGGTTCTCCTTTAGGAGCAACAAGGAGGGATAAGATTAGGAGCGAGGCACTAGCTACGTTTACATGGACATAAGTAATCGGATTAAAGGCCGTTCGGAATAAAAATGTGTCATGTAAACAGCCCGTTTGGATTATTCTGATCCGATTGAGCTCAATCCGAATGAATTTTTAATCCGAATGAGAGGGGTGGGTTATGCCGATTGATAATTGGAATGACGTTCATGTAAACACTTAATCGGATCATCTTATTCTGATTGTAGAAAATTGACCTGAGTGCGCAGGTCTTCTGACTGTCATCCACCCGGTTCTGCTCTTTAGAGGAGGCGGGGCAGCAGTGTTGTAGTTTCCAGCTGCGCTACATCACGCAGAACTTTCCTCCACTCTCTCGTAACAGATAAAAAAGGAGACAAACAGCAGACGTTGCTTCGCAGAAAAAAAAAACATGTATTGCTTCATCTGCAGCTCAACCGGGGACTAACAACATCTCTACCATTATTAAAAGCTGACATGGGACCGTCCTGAGCGCACAGAAGAGCTTTGTTTGATTTGATTTATTTATTTAACAGGAAAAGATTATTAAAAATCAAGCCTGACTCAGCATAATTGCTGTTTTACAGCAGGTTCCTGTTCTGCAGCACATAAAACACTCAGAATTACAG